CCCCCCCTTTTTTGTTTTACACCGTGGAAAGCCCAATTTCATTTTACCAAAGAGCTCTGCCAACAGCAGGACCCCCCTCATGTCACAAGGAAAGCAGTATTGCCAACTGCAAGCGCTGAGGTATCCCGAGTCAGGCACCAGTGCCTCTCCGAGACCTCCTTAAACGCACGAAGCGGTGGGTTTTTCTGCCTGTGTGTTTGCCCATTGAATAGATGTCGAATTAATTCTCCCTGTTTACTTTCCAGTCAGGAAAGTTTTTAGGAAAAATCTTCTCATCCTGTGGTCTGAGCATTCAAAAATGCTTTTTAACGTATGCAGGGCGAGGTCGCCATCGAATAACGGGACTCCAGGAGCTGGTACTTTCACAAAATCAGTATTGGAAGACTTGTAACAGTTGGCAACACTGCAAAGGAGCGTGGGTTAAAATTGAGCAGGAAAATAACAGTGCACAGTCTGGGAAGAGGGTTGGATTTTGGGTTCTGCACAGTGCGTATGAAGGAGTTACTTTTATTCCTAAATACTTGGGGCTGAACCTGCCTCGGGGCAGCTGCTGCTGCGTTGCTCTTGGTGAAGAAAGCAGATGATCACTCTTGTGTCTGGTTTTTCAAAGGTTGTTGGCAAAGCTTTTTGTGTGCGTGCAAGAGATAACTCTAAAACTTGTTCCCGGTAGTTTTGAAAAGGTGTTTACCATGCATAATAACAAATCATGAACCTGCATAAATCATGATGGCTGTTATCCGCTCTGCCAGTTCTGTGATGGCTACTCAGTGTTCACCTTCATTCTCTTCTCCTCCCAAAGACCTATTATTTTTCGTAAAATAATAGGAGATAAAATGCTTTTAATAATTTCTGCCTCATATCTGCATTTTTAGCTCTTTTCAGAAACAAGACCATGGAGTATTTTTGTTTTTCTTTTGTTTTCAGTGCTGTGATTAGATAGACTTTGATATTGGCCAAATTTCAATTAAGAGATCCTAGTACAGAGCCATCCCGTATTCTTCATGCCAGGCAGGAAATTGAGCTCTCCGAATCTCAGGGGGCTGGCAGCTCAGGGGGAGATGTTCTGTCACATTAAGGGCTATCCAGTGCTCCTCACTGCCGGCTCTTCTCCCTGGGATCCGTATGGTGACTGAGTTTCAGCAACTGGATTAAAAAAGAAAAGCCAGTGCAACCAGTTATTTTTACTGCAGCGTAAATGCACGCTGCCTGTAACAGAGAGGTGTCTGGGCAGATGTCTGTGTGGCAGGGACCTTGTGGGACCAGGCTCTGCAGACACTTGGTAGCCTGAAAGTCACGTGCCAAGGAGGTAGGAAAGAGCACATGGATTAGAAAAGCGTGTCCTCCATCACTGGGGCCTGCCCTGTGCCCACGCCATGGGGCAGGATCCCACCAACTTCCCCACGGAACATGCCCAGGCCCTGTGTAGGGGTTGGGTGGATGTTTTGTATGGCGGTTCCCCTTGGGCAGATTTGGTGCTGCCTTGGGAAGTGTTTTTGAGGAAGGAGCCCTGGAATCACAGTCTTCTGCCTGTAACACTCAGATTGAATTGAAAAAAAAATAGCACAGGAGGGTGGAAATTCTGGGCATCGAGGGATTTTAGCATGGGTAATACTATCCAGAACGGTGGCTTTGGAGAGGTAGCGAGGAGTGAACTTAGGGTTCGGTAGGCTGCTCATTCCCACATGGGTCCAGAGGGATGGGCGCTGGAGGAAGTCCAGG